CCAACGACAAATGCTGGAGGGGATGTGGAGAAAGAGGAACCCTATTACACTGCTGGTGGGAATGTACACTTATACAACCACTTTGGAAAGCAGTCTGGAGGGTCCTTAGAAAGCTAAAGATTGACCTCCCTTACGACCCAGTCATACCACTTCTAGGCATCTACCCTGAACAACAGGAACCAATATACAAGGACACGTGCACCTCCATGTTTATTGCAGCACTGTTCGCAATAGCTAGGATATGGAAACAACCTAGGTGCCCCACCACAGATGAGTGGATCCAAAAATTGTGGTATCTATACACAATGGAATATTATGCAGCCATTAGAAATGACAAAATAATGGCATTTGCAGGGAAATGGATGGAGCTAGAAGGAATCATGTTGAGCGAGGTAAGCCAAGAACGAAGAGACAAACGGTACATGGTCTCCCTCATAAGTGGATGCTAAATCCAAAAGGTTAGTGATACGACAAAACTAACAGGACTTAAGAAACAAAGAACTCCCGCTCATCTGGTTGAACCACTACTAAATATCCTCATGCTGCTGATCACAAATATGGTATATAACATGTGAACACTGTTATATATTACAGACTGTGGTAGACAATTTGCTCCAGGGAAGTTAGAATGAACTTGTGACTTTGAAATTATGTAATCATTTAATCACAATCAAAAAAAAAAAAAAAAAAAAAGAACCTCGGGGAAGGGAGGGAGGGAGGGGATGGTAGGGGGAAAACAATGGAGGGGGTAACAATGTTCAAGAGGAAGTGTACTCATAACCTCACTCATGTAACTGTGACCCTCTGTATAGTAGCTTTACAATAAAAAAAAAAAAAAAAAAGAAAAATGCTCCATGATGTAATTATAAGATGCTTAATCGTGGGTTTTTGAGTTTGTTTTGTCTTTCAAAAAAACACTTTTGCTGGCACTGGTGGCTCATACCTGTAATCCTAGCTACTCAGGAGGCTGAGATCTGAGGATCACAGTTCAAAGCCAGCCCTGGCAGGAACATCCATGAGACTCCGGAAGTGGCACTGTGGCTCACGTGGTAAGAGCGCTAGCCTTGAGCTGAAGAGCTCCGGGACAGCACCCAGGCCCAGAGTTCAAGCCCCACAACCAATAGAAGAAACAACAACAACAAAAAAAAAACATACTTTACAGGCTCTTCACCTTATTGAAGAATCCCCCAGCATAAGCCTCCTGGATGGATTGTGAGTCTGTGTGTCTGTGTCTGTGTACTGGGATTTGAACTCAGGGCCTCATGCTTTCACTAAGCTTACTTGCTGATAAATGATACTCTACTACTTGAGCCATACCTCCAGCCAAGCTTCTTGCTGATTAATTGGAGCTAAAGGTCTCGTGGACTTTCCTGCCTGGGCTGTCTTTGAACCTCGATCCTCACTCAGCCTCCTAAGTAGCTAGAATTACAGGTGTGAGCCACCAGCTCCTGGCAGCTTAACTATTTTTCAGATTGAGTTTGTGTTTTGTTTGGGTCTGACTTTGGACAGATTGTCATACCTATGCCTTCCACAGAGCTAAGAAACAGACCTGTAATATCATACCAGACTCATTTGTTGCGATAGGGTCTCATTAACTTTTTGCCTGGGCAGGCCTGACCTGCAATGTTACTGGTCTCTACCTCCCATATAGCTGGGATTACAGGCATGTACCACCATGCCCAGGTCATCTTATTTTTTGATATATTTTCAAATCAATTGCTGAGGTCAGTATACTTCACCTCTAAACAATTCAGCTACACATCACTGACTAGAATCCAATTTGTGTTTATGGGTTTTGTGAGGTGGATAAATGCACAAACCTGAAGCAGTGTTCTGTGAGTTTTGATGAATGTGTGATCCAAATTCTTATGTCAGTATAGCAGGCAGAATGCAATTTTCTTTTTCTAAGTGCTGGCTTTGAAATGTCCTTGCCCTGAAAGATAAGACTCCACTGCAAATTAAGCTTTATGAAAAATTGTCTTCATATATTTTATTATGCTCTCTTTGCCCCAGATGAAAAAAACATCAAACAGGGGCCCAGGATTTTGGAAACAGCTAACTTGAAGCAATGTGTATGCACAAGCACGTGTATGTGTGTATGTGTAGTGGATGGGGAGGGTGGTTGACACTTCAGGCTTGGGAGGCATGGGTTCAAATCCCAGCTCTGCTACGTTCCAGCTATATGACCCTGGGCAATGAACATAACCTGCCTGTGCCTCACTTTCCCTGTCGTTAAAATAGGAATACAGACAGAAACTACCTCTAAGATGGCCTGTGGCCTAGGGTACACTGAAGATGGATGGGGTGCTACCAGATGGGTGTAAGGGCTCCCAGCTGACATGCACTTGGGCAGCTATGGTAAAAGTTGACGGCTTGGGCTGGGAAGGTGACTCCGTGGTAGAGCGCTTGCCTTGCATGCATGAGGTCCTGGGTTCGATTCTTCAGCGCCACATAAGCAGAAAAAAAAACCAGAAGTGGCGCTGTAGCTCAAGTGGTAGAGCGCATGCCTTGAGCTGAAGAGCTGAGGTACAGCGCCCAGGCCCAGAGTTCAGGCCCCACAACCGACCAAAAAGAAAAAGAAAAATCTGATGGCAGGTGGTACAGTGCTTGCCTAGCATGCATGAGGCTCTGGGTTCAACTCCCTGGTACTTCATAAACAGAAAATAAAAAGAAAAAATTTAAGCTGATGGTTGTTTCTGTCTTCTGTTTCTTCTTCTTAATAACTCAGTTTTAGCAGGACACACGAAATCTTGGATCATCGTATTTCCTCTCCATTGTTACTGTGGCCACAGAGAAGCAGGTACGGTACTGGACACCTTTTCTGATGGCTCTTACGGTGCCTGGAAGGGTTGCCTGGAATCACAGCATCTATTTTGTCAAATCTGTAGATGGCAGAGAAGAAAGATGAAAGGAATGGGGTATTGTGGTTGAACCACTGAGTTAGGCAAGCAAGCAAGCCTTAGATCACTCCATCTCCACTCCCTGTTATATAAGATAACATGTCGTTTTGTTTAAATTAGACTAGCCACCTTATTCCAATGCTGACGTGAGAGAATATTGTACAAAGGGCCTGGTCCAGAAGCTGTTCTTGCATATGGCCGGTTGTCCACTCTGCTCACCCACCACATCTCCCCACACATCAGGTCTGAACATGCCACTCCGCTTCTTCAAGAAGTCACCCCTGTACAGGTGCCCCCAAGAACAGTTTAGTGGGCACTGCTAAGCTCTAGGAAACTTTGGGTACCAGTTTAGAGGTCATCCCTGATCCACTTGCCCTATAGGTCCACCCTGGGCCTTGGCTGCTTGGAGAAGGCCTAATGCCAACCTGCTCGGTTTGCCCTGCTGGGCAGACCCAGCCACAGCCAGCTTCCACCCAAGACCTGGAGCTCCCTGCAGAAACTTCCAGCGGAGGAGGGAGGGAGCTGTGCTGGACTTAGGGAGCCTGGACTTTTCCACATTGCCCTGTGGGCTCAGTGTGACTGTTCAGTGCTTGCCCTTGTCTTTTCCTGGCTTTTGAGAATTGAAGATACTCCCTGCAGCCTTGTAGGGGACAGGATCCAAGCATGAGAGCTGCTAGAGAGCTCTCCTTGGGCCTTGGCTCCAGGTCTCCAATCAGGGCCTGCCAGCGTGCCCTTGGCCTCTGCTTCCTTGGGACCCAGAAATGCCAACCCCATGGGGCAAGGAAAAGACCATCTTGTGACCTCAGGCCCCCATTGGGAGTTTTAAGGGTCGTGAGAACCGAGGCAGCTGCTGCTGGCTTGAACTGGAAGGAGAGATCTATAAGGTCAGCATGTCCACACAGCTGCCCACGTTCTCAGCCTCAGCTTCCTGCTCTGCTTCTCTGTGTCCCCTCCCCCCCCCCCCCATGGCCTGCTACAGTTTCTGCTGCCCCAGGGCCTTTGTCAATTCTAGAGCCTCTGCTAATTGATGGTGGTGGCTTAATTCTCCATTCAGCAGCCTCAGGGGCCCTCTGTCCCATTCCGACTCCTGGAGAGAAGGTTATGGTATTGCTGCCAGTGTTTGTACAGTTCTTTGTCGGGCTCTCTACTTACCTGCTTTTCTGGTCCCAGCACTTGAGCCTGTTTATAAACAGCATCAAGGTGATGTTTATAAACTGTGGGGGTGGTCACCAGAGAGTGGGTGGCATGCTCATCTCTCCGGCTCAGTGTGGATGCTGAGAGTTGTATAATCACCCTGCATAAAGGCATCAACAGGAAATGTCTTAAAACACAGCAGCAGAACATTTATCTCCCATAGTTTGAGAATTCCTGGGATGGCTGTAGGAAAAGACACCAAGAGGAGCTTCCCAAGAGGAGGACTGAGCAATATAGCAGAGCCAGACCCAATAAAAGAGCTGCTGCTCAGGTCTCACCATAGAACTGCTTGCAGGTCAGGGCTGCACCAGGTGCAGGCTTCAAGAATGACCCATCCTCTGCTTGCCACTGCCAGCTACACAGCAGAGTTGGTATCTTGGCAGGGAAGGGAACAGAAGGGGAGGGGAGGGAGGAAGAGAAGAGGAGAGAGAAGGAGAAAACCCTCCGACCTCCCATCAGGCACCTGGCTTTCTGACGTATTCCTGAGACTGTGAATAAACACACTTGAACAGTTTAAAGCTACTTGGTTCTTGGTCATTTGTAACAGCAGCTGCAGGCAATGAAAACAGCAGTGTCCTGGTCAGCCATGGACTGCATCTGACTGGGTGGTCCCATAGATTATTATATCCTCTGGGATGCCCCGACTTCATAAGGCCCTTCTAGCATGCTTGCACCAGGAAATCGCCCAGCGATGCATCTCTCAGAACACAACCCTGTCATTAGGCGTCTGAGGGTATTTACTGCGCCAGCCAACACTGCTATGCTTTGGACTATGCTTTGCTTTGTTTATGGAGCTGGGTGCCCAGGGTCGGGGCACACTGATGACCAGGGAAAATCCACTGGCCATTGTGGACTTACATTCCGAAGGATGATCAAGCAAATGCAGAGACAGACACACGGACAGGCATGCCTTGGAACCCTGAGAGCACTGGGTCCAGGTCCACTGAAGCACACCCCTTCTGTGCAGTGTCTCCCCGGGTTCGAGGCAAGGGGGTGCAAGTTCTTCAATGTGGGCAACATCTGGTGTTTGTTTGGACAATGATCAGACTGAAGATGTGGGGTGTGTGTGTGTGTGTGTGTGTGTCCTGTCCCTGAGCTTTTTGTCACTCAAAGCTGGCGCTCTACAACTTAAGCCACAGCTCCACTTGTGGCTTTTGGGTGGTTCATTGGAGATAAGAGACTCATGGACTTTCCTGCCTGGGCTGGCTTCAAACCATGATCCTCAGATTGTCAGCTTCCTGAGTAGCTGGGATGACAGGCGTGAGCCACCAGCACATCCGCCGCTGGTCTTTCCTTTCCTTTCCTTTCCTTTTCTTTCTTCTTTTTCTCAGTCGAGCACCGTTTCGCAGCATCTCCTCCCCGCCTGGCACCCAGGAGGCGCCGGGCGAGTCCCCAGGCCGGCGGCCCGGAGCACTTCCGCCCCCGGGGCTGCCACGCCGCCCGGCTGGGGGTGGGGCCGGGCGGAGGCGGGCCGGGGGGGCCGGGGCCGGGACGGCCCTGCAAAGCTGGGGGAGAGCGGCGGAGGCCATCGCGGGGAAGCCAGGCCTGGGCCGGCGCTGCCTTCGAGGAGGGGCCGAGGTGGTCGAGCGGCCCGCGCGTCCTTGAAGGCCGAGGCCCCGAGCGCGCGCGCGCGCCGGCCGGCTGCAGACTTGGCCATTTCCTCCCGGGGACAAGCGGCGCCAGGGCCCCGAGGAGCACCGGGGCGGATCGGCGATCGCAGCGGCCCGGGGAGCCCGCGGGACCTGGGGTAGGCGGCGAGCCAGGCGGAACGCGCAGCGCCGGCGGCGGGAAGGAAGAGAAGGAAACCGGGAGTCGGGAACCGGGAGCCGAGGCCGGGCTGCGGGACGGCGCCGCCGCCCAGGACGGGGACACGGGGGCCGCGGGGCCGCCCGGGCGTGGCGCGCATGGCCGGCCGGACGCGCCGTCGGGGCCGGCGCCGTCGGGAGCTCGGGTCCCGCGGCCCCGGGCGGCCCCCGCGCGCTACTCGCTCAACCCGCGCGCTTTCTGGCCCCTGGTGAGCGGCCTGTGCGCCGCGCTGCTGTGCCTCGGCCTCGTCCTGCGGGGTGGCGGCGGGGGCGCCCGGGCCGAGCTCCCCGACGGCGCGGGCGGCGGCGGCGGCTTCCCGGCGGCGCTCCCCGCCGCCTCGCTGCTGCTGCTCGGCTACGTGCTCCTGCGCTGCCGCCGCGCCGCCCGCCAGCGCCTCCTGCCCGGCCCGGCCCGCCCGGGCGGCCCCTCCGCCCTGCCGACCGCTGGCCCCCGACAGCCGGGCCTGGGCGTCCTGCTGGAGAGTTACTACGAGCACGAGGTGCGCCTGTCGCCGCACGTGCTGGGCCACAGCAAGGCGCACGTGAGTCGGATCGTGGGTGAACTGGTGCGAGCCGGCTGCATCCGCGGCTCCCCGGGCCCCCTCCCCGGGGGAGCGCTGGCCCTGGCCTTCCGCGGTGACTTCATCCAGGTGGGCAGCTCCTACGAGCAGCATAAGATCCGCCGGCCCGACAGCTTCGACGTGCTGGTGCCGCTGCGCCTGCCGCCGCCGGTGGCGCTGGAGCCGCGGAGCCTGGGCGCCGAGCCCGCGCTGGCCCGGGCCTCGGGCGGCTGCTTCGTGGGCGCCCTCAAGGCGCCGCCCTCGCCGTCGGGGGCCCCCGGGGGCCGCTGGCCCCGCGATTGCAAGCCCTTCGCCGACGGCTTCTGCGTGGACGCGCGCGGGCGGCGGCTGCTGTCGGCCTGGCTGGTGCTGCGCTGGTTTCAGGCGCACCTGCAGCGCTGCCTGGCGGCCGTGCGCTACAGCCTGGAGGGGCGCTGCCGGGTCAGCCTGACCCCGGGGGGCCTGGAGCAGCCCCCCACCCTGCACGTCCTGCCCTGCCGCACCGACTACGGCTGCTGCCGCCTCTCCATGGCCGTGCGGCTCATCCCCGCCGTCCACGTGGGCGATGGGGTCTTCCTGGTGGCGCCCGCCCCGCCGCCCTCGGCCCTGGCGGCCCCGGCCGGGCTCCCGCCGGGCCTGCTGTGGGGCGTGAACACGTCCCGCCAGGAGCAGAAGCTGCTGAGCTGGCTTCAGGAACGGGCCGCCCCGGGTGCCTGCTACCTCAAGGGCCTGCAGCTGCTCAAGGCCCTGCGCGACCTGGGCGGCCGCGGGCTGGACCCGCCGGCCGCCGCGCAGTGGGGTCGCATCCTGTCCTCCTACGTGCTCAAGACGGCGCTGCTGAGCCGGGCGTGGACGGGGGACGGGGTCCCCGCGCCCGGCTGGGACGAGGCCCACCTGAGCGAGCGGCTGGAGGAGTTGGTGCGGTTCCTGCGGGACTGCCTGCTGCAGCGGCACACGCTCTTCCACTGCGTGCTGGGCCCCGGCGGCGCGGCCGCCGACCTGGGCCCCCTGCCCAAGGCCCTGCGCGAGGCCCCTCCGGTGGACCTCCTGGCGCCCTTCGACGGCAGGGCCCGGGAGCTGGCAGCTGCCAGGCTGCTGTCGACGTGGCAGAGGTTACCCCAGCTTCTCCGGGCCTACGGGGGGCCCCGTTACCTGGCCAGTGCCCCCCCAACCCAGCCAGAGTGCGCGCGCCCAGGGCTTCCCTGAAGATGGACCCCCGATCGACCACACACACAGGCTCCTCCCGGGTCGGGGTTACAGCCGAATGCACACACACACACACACACACACACACAGAAGGCACTGGGAAAATTGGAGGCCCCCACCCCAAGATCACACAACGTGACACTCCCGTGGGACTCACTACGGTTTCCTGGGCAAGAAAACTGTGGAAGACGCAGGAGGCCGTCGCTGCTCCGATCCTGATGGTGATCTGCCCCGAATCTGGTACAAAGATGCACCCGGCGGAGATGACCAGCGAGGACCACGGAGGACCCCAGAGGACCAGCCGAGGCACGGAGACCGGCCGCCAGCCCGCAGCTTCCTGCTCCCCGGGCCTCAAGACACAGACCTCTCGGTCCCCTGCTCTGTCCCCGGGCTTTTTGGAAACGGATGGTGTTATTTCTGACATACCTATTTGGGAGGGACGGAATTCCAAATCGCTTTTTTTTTGTCTAGATCTTCTAAAGAAAAAGGGAATCGAATCTTTATGCACAGTGAAGGCTGAGTTCTCTCCCAGCCGAGAACGGGATGTGCCAATCAGGGTCTCTTGTTAAAATAGTGCCATTGGTTGGGGTGAGACCACACTTGCTGAGAGACAAAAAGGGTTGGCTTCAAGAAGAGATCCGGAACAAATAGCACTTTATGTTGGCTGGTGATAGTACTTGGTGGTGGTTGTGTTGGTTGCATTCAGTAGGAAGATGTGTACAACTCTGCCAGGCAGGTATCAGTCAGGTGTGGGGCTAAAGGGCAGCAGTTAAGACGGCACTGTGTGAGAGAAAACATAGCAGGTCTTGAAAAAGAAGGTATGTAGGCCTTTGTCTATCAAGATGTTAGTCAGGGCAGCAAGGCGGCTAGACCATGGCCCTTTGGGGTTTCAGCACTTATTCTCAGCAATGTCTTTCCCAAGGAATTCTTTCCCAAAGATTTTTACAAAGGAGAGGAAGTGCCTGTCCCAGGGTCGGACAAGTGTGAGAGCCCAGTGACATGTGTAATGATGGGTAAATGGTTGGGAAGGTTCTAGATGGCCCAGGAGGCCAGCTTCAAAGGGCTCTTGATTCAGCTTGTGTCTTGCTTGCCAAATAGTTTTTTTTGGGGGGGGGAAGAGGGGGACTCGGTCTCTTGAAGGTGTGGTGTGTGTCGAAGGGGTGGTGTGTGTGTCTGTGTTTGGCCACCAGTCTGTTCCCATAGATGGGGAGAGAGGAGCTGACAGATCAGGGGAAGGAGGTTAGCAAAGAGGGAGGGTCATTTCTGAGGGAAATGGTTCCATAAATAACAGGGCCACTGTTAAATTTCTGAGCTATTTTGAGGGATCTGTGTCACACACACACACGTGTGTGTGTGTGTGCGCGCGCGCGCGTGTGCTGGCACTGGGGCTTGAACTCAGGGCTTGGGTGCTGTCCCTCTGTGTTTTGCTCAAGATTAGCTCTCTACTGCTTGAGCCACAGTTCCACTTTTGGCTTTGTTACTTGGAGATCTGAATCTTCTGGACTTTCCTGACCAGGCTGGTCTTGAACTTTATTCCTCAGATCTCAGCCTTCTGTGTAGCTAGGATTACAAGTGTGAGTCACTGGCACCTGGCTAAGAACTCCTTTAAGGGACTCATTCGGCTGCTTTGGGACATTATAAAAAAGTAATTTACAGGGAATCTTTTTTTTTTCTTCTTTTTATCAGTGCTGCATACACTTTGGATACGCTTTGCAATAGTGGGCCAAGAGAAATGGCTGCAATGGGGTGCTGTCTCTGAGTTGTTTGGGGAACAATTTCCCTTGGTACCCCAGAGGTTATTCCAAGCTTTTGAGGCCAATGTTAGGCTATAAGGTACTGCACTGAACTAAGGGATCAATCTACTAGCTTCCTGCAAACATAAACTGCACAGTGTTTTTTTTTTCAAGTTAAGTTTGTTTTAAGGATAAATATTGAGAGTAAATCATATCTATATATCTCTACATAGATCTATATTGATGTAATTTCTATACCCAGCCCAACTTTTCATGTAGTCATTTAGGCAATAGAAATGGGAGCTAGTAAGGCCAAAAACTGTATTTCTAGCTGGGTTCTCACTTTTTTAAATTTAATACTATTTTTTAAAGTATAAATCTGGAAATAACACAGTTCTTGTAGGGTTTTTTTTCTATTAGTATTTTTTAATGACCCCCTCCATCCTGAAGGGTTTTTAAAAAATTTTTTATTTTTTTAAATTAATGGTCATTGTGTTGATGACATTTTAAAACTAGGAATGTCTTATTTAAATGCCATGCTGACAATTGTTCTCTGTACATGGTAAGCCAAAATGTAGTGATTTTGATCAATTTTGATCACTGTCTAGTAATCTCAATCATGTACTATGTACTGATGAAGTAAGGTGTGGTAGCCCAAGTTATAGAGAATAAATTCAGTCCTAGATTTTTTTTTTCTGTCCTGAAGCTTGAACTCAGGGCCTGGGTGCTGTCCCTGGGCTTTTCACTCAAGGCTAGTGCTCTACTACTTTGAGCCACAGCGCCACTTCTGGTTGTGTGGTGGTTCATTGGAGATAAGAGTCTCACCTACTTTCCTGCCTGGCCTGGCTTTGAACTGCAATCCTCAGAGCTCAGCCTCCTGAGTAGCTAGGCTTACAGTCATGAACCACCAGCACCGGGCTCAGCATCTGTTTATACATGATGAGTGGCCATCATGACTTTGAAAAGCAGGGGTTTTGTTTTGTTTTGTTTTGTTTTGCTGTGGGCCTGCTATGGATTCATATAGGCAAAAGTCCCTTACTGGAAGGAGCTACCAATTTTTTTTTGTTTTTAATTAGTTCTTTAGCTAATGCCCAAAGAAAATGCATGTGGGAAGGTGACTCAGCCATTATGTGGCTAGATGCCCCTCAGCTACTCCCACAGCCTGGGCTTGGAGTCTTCTGGAATGTTCCTGGACTGGGCTAGGAGAAGGAGAAGTGTTTTGTAAAATGAAATGGAGCTGAGAGGAAGGAGGATTGGAGGGGACCGGAAGGCTTTTCTGGAAGGAGGACTGCAGACAGAAGTGAGAGGAAGAGAGGCGAAGGAGGTAAAGTAAGCACCAGCACCACTTGGGGTAGGAGAGGTTGGGGTCAGGAAAGCTATGCTAGTGTGCTGTTTGCAGGGGTGTGGGTCATGAACTCAGCAGCCTGCAGGAGCAAAAGCAGGAGTAGGAAGGAAAGAACCAGGGGAGGGGGGGGGGCAGATGGGCCATGGGGGCTGGGCCCACAGCTCCACAAAGGAAACCAGGATTGTTTGATTAATTGATTTTTTTAAACGAATAATTGTCAATTGTCCAGAGCACCACATAGATCAGACAGAACATTTGGGGGCCCGCCAGTCTGAGTCTCCCCTGACCTCCCCTCAACTATGTACAAGGTTATATTAATTTTGTTTTGGATCAAACTGGTGTGATGTCTCGTGGAAGATGTGACAGTTCAGTTCTCCTGTATCTCTCAGACTTAATGTTTATTGTAGAAATAAGCCAGCAAAAAATTAACACAGCCACAGATAACACCTAATTCGGTATGCAAAAGGGATTCCCAGTCTTGGAGTCATTTTTTTTCTTTTGTTTCTTTTTTTAAATGAGATTCTTCATCAGACCACATGTTTGGGGGGTTGGAGGGGGTGGATTCTTGGCATTTACATCCAGGTGTTTTGGGGTCAACTCATTGACTCAGAGTTTGCCAGTGAGTCATCTCAAAGGATTGCAGAATAACTTGTTTTGTTGTATTTGGTTCTAATATTAAAACCAATTATGTTGGTTCCTGGTGAAATCAGAACTTCATCTCTGGACCCAGCTTAAGCCTTTTGTCCCAGCCTCGTTGCCAAGAAGAGTCTGGTGCGACTCCATCGCCAAATTTTTCCATCTCCCTCTGACTTCATGGCTCCTGCCATGGATGTCCTGGTCCAGATATGCTAACAAAACGTAACAGGTCACTCCTGTTCTGCCAGCTTCCCTTTCTTTCTTTTCCTTTCTTCTCTTTTCTCTTTTTCTTCCCTTCTTTCTCTCCTTTCCTTCCTTGCTTCCTACCTTCCTCGCTTCCCTCCCTCCCCTCCTCCCCCTCCCTATTTTCTTTCTCTTAGCTTCTTCACTCAAGGTTGGTGCTCTACCACTTGAGCCACAGCTCCTCTTCCAGGCTTTTGGTGGTTCATTGGCAGTAACGGTCTCACAGACTTTCCTGCCCAGGCTGGCATCAAACCTTGATCTTCACTCCGATCTCAGCCTGAGTAGCTAGGATTACTGGCATCAGCTTGTGTGCCTGCCATAGTCACTTTTTCCTGTGACACCATGTGGCTTTGACATTGATGAAGGTGTTTTCTGCTCTTTACCCGGGCGAAGGAAGATTTCTTCCCGTGGTGGGGAAAGTAAGTCCCACCTACCTGTCCCAGAAAATGACAACAAGTTTAGTTAGTGTTATCATTGTGGTGGTGTGTTAGTTTTTTGTTCGCTTTTCTTTTTAAACAATTGCTTGTCTGTGACTTAAACCTATCTGTGTATTTTTCATGCCTGTACAGTATGTGATGGGGTGGGAAGAGAACAGAAGGCTAGGTTGGAAGATGGGGGAGAATACATGGTCTTCTATACAGAAAAAGTGAATGACATATAACATGGGTTCTGAAGGATCAGATCGTCAGGAATATTTTTAGCACCTTCAGCTTTAAAAACCCAACAAACCAAAGTGCCTTGACATCACTTGACTTAAAGCATTCCTCTTATTTTACTGAGATTTTTAAAAATGTCTCTTGTGAGCTCACAGTGAATGTGACGGTGCAGTCTGACAGTCTTAACATAAATTTTCTTCCAGAAAAAAAAAGACCAAAGAGTGAATCCAGTAGGATTCAGCTGCTAAATAACTAAGATTAAAGGCAATTTTTTGTTGTGTGTCGGTACTGGAAGTTGAACCCAGGGCCTTGTGCTGCTCCTTGGCTTTTTTGCTTGAGGCTGGTACTTACTTAAATCACAGCTTCACTTCCAGCTTTTTTTTTTATGACTAATTGGAGATTTTTTTTTTCAAGTCCCTTGGATGGATTTATCTGCCTGGACTGGCTTTGAACCTTGATTCTCAGAT